TTTGCCCCCCAGCTGCTGCCCTGGTCCCCGCTGCTGCTGTATCCTCCACTCCACTCTGCTCTGCTCCCCAGCCAGTGGGCTGGGAGCCTCCAAAGCCCACTGCAATCCACACTGTCTGATCCCCCCTTCACTCTCTCCAGCCTTTTTATTTTGAGGCAGGATCTCATTAAATTGCCTGGGCTGGGCTCAAACTTGTAATCATCCTGCCTCAGCCTCCTAAAGGTGTGCACCATCATACCTGGCTTAAAAATAATTTCTTCAAAGAAGAAACTTCAGTCATTTTCCACTGTAAGATACTTACCCAATAATTTATTCCACTACTTCCAGGATTTCAATAACCATATTTAAATCTTTAATCCATGTGAAATTCATTTTGGTATATAGTATGGTATAGTGGTTTAACTTGTGTCCCAAATAAGACCAATCAATCATACATTTGTTAAGATTCCCCCACTGAATTGAAACACAATACTGTCTCGTTTTACTATAATGAATGCTTCAATATGCTCTGGTTTCTTTCTGGACTACTACATTTGATAAATCTAATTCTCTTTGTTACTCTTGTGTCAATGCTACACTATTTTAGTATGTAGCCTTCTAACAGAGTTGACTTCCCTTTTCTGGGGTCAGTACTGGGGACTGAAGACAGGGCCTTCACACTGACCTAGTTCTCCAACCCTTTTTTATGTAGAGACACTGTTGCATTAAATCACAGTTATCTAGGCTGACTCTAAATTTTCAATCCTCCTGCCTCAGCCTTAAACTTGACTATCTTAGAATGCACATCTTTCATAAACATTAAGCTTTAATGTTTCCTTGGTTCATTTTTATCTGGTAATTAATTCCCCTATATGAACTTAATATTTAATCAGTTTCCAAAGTAAAATTCTGAGATTCTAATTCAATTGTGATAAATTTACAGCTTAAACTGAGATGACAATGTGTTTATAACATATTATGTTCCCATCCAGATACACGCTATGGCTGGCTATTTATGTTCTTTTAAATCCCTTTCCCCATTGTTTAAGTTCTCATCTTATTAAGCTTTCTATATGAAAAGAATATTAACTCTTTGATTGTCAAATACTGTATATTACAAATTTCTTCCAATTTATTACCAACAAATTTGAAAAGATTAGTTGAGGCTGCATATATAATACACATTTATACAGAAAAAGAAAAAACTCATCTTAAATCAAGCATTTATTAGTAGGATTTTCAGTATGAGACATGGAATTAAAAAGAAAACAAACAAACAAAAAAAACCCCAAAAAACCAAAAACCCCAAATCATCAAGCCAAAGACTGTTAGCCAACCACTGTGGCAAGTGCCTGTCTAGTCCCAGCTACTCTGGGAACTCAAGGCTCAAGGAACTCCCAGCTCAAGGCCAGTCTGAGAAACATAGTGAGACCCTGTCTTAAAAAAGTAAATAAAAACAAAAATAAGACTGTGAAAACAAATAGAACATATTGCTAAAACACCTCCCATAGCCAAAATGTAACTGTATGGAACAAAGACAATTTAGCAGTTAAAATAAAAAGATCATACAAACTTTGTTCTTTAAAGAACCCTTCAATGTATTTCCTTTCACTATATATACAGTTGAACAATTTTTTCAATTCACCTTATCAAAAATGGCTTAGGATCTTAGAGAAAAAAATATTCAGAACGAAAGCCATCATTTTGTAGGATATTACTAGTGAGCCATCTAGCTACCACCTGTCAATTCTTTTAAGTATTTTTTATTCAGCTTCCCTTCCCATACCCTCAGTAGCCATTTCCAACTCAAGTACTCTCTGCAGACAGGAACTACTGTTCCTACTCCCACCTCCTACCTTCAGATGACTTCACCTAATTTGGACACTCCTTGCAAATCACCTATGTTGATAACTTAGATTTCTCATCTCAGAGAAAGTATTCTTTCCCCATCTCCACTTTAAGACAGTTATGTACCTTAATTTATACATGGTAAAGGAGGAAAAGATCAAAAAGGGGCAAGACTCATTAATGTTTCTGCTTAGGACTCTGCTCTATAACTTATTTCTGCTTAACTGGCATATTTAACCTCTTATTGTGTTTCGATTTCGCCATTCTGCCAAATATATATTCTAATGGCTTCCATTCTTTTTGTTTGAGACATGTTCTTGCTATGTAATTCAGGATGGTCATGAACTCACTATGTAACCCAAGCAAGCCTCAAACTCACAGGAATTCTCCTGCCTCAGCCTCTGAAGTGCTGAAAGCACAGGCATGCACCACTGTTAGCCACGGTTTCCAATAAGAAAAAAAATCATTTCATACTTTGCTCTATTGAATCTATCTTTCTCATCCTTTTTAAGGAAGCAGTCAACAATCCTACTCTTACCTCCAATTCATTCCACAGCCTCCTGTCCCAGCGCTTTATGTATAACTGTGCCTCCAGCTGAAGGTACTAACCAAAACAGTGACATGGAAACCACATCAGTCAAGAAGAATGGGGAAAAAAATAAAAGAATGGGGAAATTTTTGATTCCATAATTACTACTTTTGTCCACAATTGTGCCTACTGATAGAAATTGGGACTGGAGGAAAGAGCTGATTATGGGTTTCTCCTGGGCTCTGAAGTGGAGAAAACTAGAATCTCTAAACAGTGTACCTCCGAAAATGTTCAAAAGTTGTGTAGAGAATGAGTACTTATACTGCTGTGTGGCTTAAAAAGGGTTTTGTTTGTTTTCATTTCTGTGGTAGTGGGGATTGAATCCAGGGTCTTCACACAGACCTCCATCCCAGGGTTTTTAAAAATTTATTTTTGAGACAAGGTCTCGCAAAATTGTCCAGACTGGGCTTAAACTTCTGATCTTCTGCCTCAGAATGAGGAATAGGTGGTATTACAGGTGGGTACCATCATGCCCAGTCAAAAAGGATCTTATTTTTATGTGCTGGAATAGTGTTCACATTTTCCTTGCTACAGCTCCATTAAGAATAGAGTTCTAGGACTGACTTTCACCCTATCTACTACAGGAGCTAATAAAAAATTGGTTGTATACTTTCATTAAAATAATCTACTATTAAAAAATCTACCACTTCAAGACACAAAATCTTTTTTAGCAAAAAACCAAGGTGGGCAGAAACTAAATACTAGGTTTGAGACCTTGACTACCTTACTTAACATTATCACCTATAGAACAGGGCTATACTCCAGTTTTAACTTCAAGGCTTGCACAAGATAAGACAGGTAAAAACACAACAGTTCTGGGCACATATCAAATACCTCTTCTTCATCTAGCACAGTGCCAAATTCAAAATAGGTATAGAATTATTAGGGAGTAAAAATGTACCAAAATGAAGAAATATTAAAAATTTGTGGGCTGTGAGACAGAAAACGTGACAAAAGCACCATCTGTTCATACTAATCATAATTGCCAAGGAAAAGCTCCAAATAGAAGTGAAAATTACTAGAAGATACCCAAATATTTTGAGGAGATTTAAGTAGCAGAAGTACTTTGATAGATTAAATTCCTAGTGATTTCCTCTAAAAAGTATGTCAGATTACACAGGATTTAATAAAACGGACAAGCAACAGCACACACAAAAGTGCAGTTTCCCAGGTTGAAAAGACAAATCTAGTTAGTCTTAAATATACAACGTTTCCTTACCTATACACAAAAGTAACTATGTATCAATGGGATTTGCAAGGGAGAGATGTTTTTCTCTAAATCCAACAATCAGAATAATATATGTGGCCAAAATGAATCTTCTCCAAATATGTAGGGGAAAAATATTGTTAACTGTTAGAATTAGTGCAAGGCAGCTGGATTTAATAGAATGCAGTATACCAGCTGCTAATTCTGAAAATATTCTGAGGGTGGAGAAATCCGGCAATCTTCCCAATAAAACTGCCATAAACCACCACATATACATAAAAATATACACATCTGTTAAATATCAATTTACATTATTCCAGCCAACCTGTAATTCAAGAGGAAATATTTAAGATTTAAAAGATAATAAACCCTACTCCGGGTCACATTTTGCAAGGGTGGCTACTGAAAGAGTAGTTATCCACGCTGATTCAAGGCAAGCACTGAATAATAGATTCAGTATTCACGTACAAATTTGGGGGGGAGGAAAAAAAAAGGAGGCTCCAAGTACAGTCCGTAAAGTTCTCCCTCTCAGAAACACTGCAAAAACTGTCCCTAAGGTCACTTACCCTTGAAACTCCATGGTGAGTGACTTCAAGACTTTTTGTTCAGATTTTTGAGGGGGAGCGATTTAGGAATGCTACAAGATTGCAATTTTCAAATACCCTGGACATGATTTAAATTTCTAAAGTATTTCTTTTTCTTTCAGGAAATGTTAACCCCTTCCTTTTCAAAGAGTGGGTCAACATTCTCATATTAATAAAATCCCCAATGGAAACACCAAATGTAAACAAAACAAAAACACACAAAGCTTTAAAGATTTGCCAATAAGGCACACAGACCATTTCCAAAAATCCGTAGTACCCTTCCAATCGTGAAGAGAAAGCAGCGAAGGAAACAAAGCAGATATAGTTTTTTTTTTTTAAATCCCCAAAACAAAAAAACAGGGTAAAGAGGGCAAGGAGATGAAAAAGTAGGAAGGGGTGGGGGGAGGAGGAGAGCAAAAAGTCCAGCTGATGCTGATACTTCATTGAGAAGGCAGGGCGGAATATATCCCAAAGATAGAGAAGAGAAAGACCTGGGGGAACAGGGACGCAATGAGGAAGTCCACGCAAAAGGCCTAGCCAAGGGGGCCACTGCAGAAAGCAACACCAAAAAGGAGCAAGGCTGATTAGGAAGACTACAAGGCCCCAAAGCTTGGGAGGCAGAGGATGTGGCAATCGAGTGGTGCTGTACTGGTAACGCGGTCCCCGCGCCAGACATCTCGCAGGCGATCCTGCTAAGAGGGGTGAGGGGTTGAACGCGGGGTTCGCAGACGTGGAAGGGGGTGCGGCCCCAGGGGTTGCGGCAGGAGAGCGGCTAGCAGGCCCCGGTCCGTACCTTGTAGTAAACATCGAACTGGATGTTCTCGGGCAAGGAGCGGATGTCTCGGCGGGAGCGGATGTAGTTGTCCACGACAGCGGAGATGGCGGTGTTGTAGAGAGTCTCTGGGATCCACTCTAGCTCCACGGCCGCCATCTTCCTTC